CGAATCGATTACTTTCTAAACGTAGATCCACATTCAAGACCTTAATGGCCCATTAATTTTAAGTCGCATCCACTCTGCTACCATTCATAAATATCTGCTTTTATATATGACTACATATTTTATAATTTTACTTCTTTAATATTCCTTCTTTATAAAAATCCCTTATGGCATCCCTATACCAATTGTCAATCACTATATTCTGCCATTGCCTCAACAATGTGGGTATTTTCTGGATACTTTTTTTTTGTTGTATTCTTATTGTTGGTTGATACCTCCCCACACTTAAACAAAGCCCTGTTGCAGGCCGACAACTACTAAAATCAATCATACCATTATTCTCCCTCAACATGCATAACGGGCACAAGTACTACTCTCTTTTCGATTCGGGTGTGCTCTCTTAGTTGGACCAACTAACCAAGAATACATTTTCATGATTTGCAGCCTCTCAATGCCGGCATTGTTGCTGTTTTTTTCCTATCTCACATTGTATCTGTGTATCTGCAGATGAATGTTTGCATGTGTGTGTACGTTTACTGGCTGTATTGGTATTTTTGGTTGTATCTACCGAACACAACACAAAATTGTTTAATTTACATTGAAAAGTTTGATGCTGTGGTTGCTGGTTGCTGCTGCCCGTTGATTATCGCTGTTGTTACTACGGCTACTAATACTACACAACGTCAACTACTACTACAATTGGTAATACATTTATTTCGTTTTTTTGTTGTAATTTTATTACAATATTTGTGAGAAGAAGATATCAAAACTGTGCCGCCACCAGTCAGTCAGTCGTGTCAGTGTTTTTCCTTTTTTTTATTATTATTTCTTGTCATTTCAATTCAATCAAATGACAAGTTGTGTTGTTGTGGATTTTTGTCACGCTGCCTTTTTTCTTTCTTTTTTAAAATATCTCAAGTGAAAATATTGTGGAAGTCTTAATTGTGATCTCGTAGCGTTAAGAATAGTTCGTTAAATAACAAATAAAATTGGCAAAAAAATATATAAAAACGTATAGGCATACAGGACTTGTGGAGGTTAAAGGTTTTAAAGTGTGGTTGCAAATTTTGGTAAGAGTAGTAAAGTGTTTGTAATTATTTTAAAGTATTACAAAGTTTTCTGAAAGTAAAGTGAAAAAAGTGGAAGAATATTTTTTTATTTGAGGAATTAAAAGAATCATATTATAAATTAAAATAAAAACAAAATTTTTTAAATGGTTTATAGATAATGTGTATTGTGAATGATTTCGACAAATAGTAATTTGGTAATAAAATAAATAATTTTTGTGATTATAAATTATTGGCGAAATAAATAATGAAGAAATAACTTGATTAGAGGATGTACCGGAAAAAATACTCCTGATTAAAAAAAGGACAAGTAAACTATTATTAACTAAAATTAAGACGAATATATGACATCCTGACATAGTTGGGAGTGGTCGTGAAGACCTGGTCCCAAAAATATAAATTGAAAGTTTTTATATATTTTTTCTCTTCTCGAGATGTCGTGGGAAAAATCATGAGCATCCACACCCTAATATAAATTGAGTCTTTATATATAATTTGTGTTTGGTTCTCCTTCCTCCTCGAAATTGTTTTGAAATTAATTTTAATATATTGAACACCCTGAAGAAACTAGTGAGAGGTGGAGAAGTCTTGAAGGAATATTTTTGTACAACATATCCTCCTTCTGTCACGAATTATTGTGGGTCTTTTTGTCCTTATCTTCTTAACCCGTAATTTACATATAAAAAGACGAAATATTTCGACTTCAAAATTATCCTGAAAAATAATAAATAACAAGTGAACTAATAACTAAATCAAGCTGACATAGCTAGGGAGGGGTCTCGACGACTAAGACCCATCTCCCTCGTCGAAAATCTTTCGAAAATCATTTCTAATAGATTCGAACACCCGGATATAGATTTTTTTGTTCCTTTTTCTCCACGAAAAGAAAAAAGAATGACGAGTAAATTAAAAACACAGAAAAAGAAATTCTTTATAGGTTAAGTATTTGAGATGATGTTTGCTGATAACTCCAAAGAAAATTTCGTAAAATTGTGTCTAAAAACTGGCCCAAACACAGAAAAATAAGGGTACCATTATATGGGGATGCAATAAAATGTAGACCAATATTCATAATTTTTGGTAGGGAGACTAGCTACCCAATGGTAACACTAAGAACCAAATTACAGCCTATTCGTGTAATAAACGTGACGAAAATCCTCCAAATACCGAATAATGGGTGTACCGTTATGTGGGGATTATCTTAAAAAGTGAACCCATATCCATAATTTTTGGTAGGGAGACTTGCTACCCAATGGGAACACAAACCACCAAACTGCAGCCAATAGGGTTAAAAAACATGTCCAAGCTCCCCAAAATATCGAATAATTTGTGGGTACGATATATATGGATGCTATCTTAAAAAGCGGACCTATATCAATTATTTTTGGTAGGAAGATTTTCTACCTAATGGAAACTCTAAGCACTAAATTGCAGTCAATACGGTTAGAAAACGTACCCAAGCTCCCCAAAACACCGAATAATGGGGGTACCGTTGTATGGGGCTATCCTAAAACGTAGACCGATATTGGTGATTTTTGGTAGGGAGATTTGCTACCTAATGGAAACCCAAAGCACCAAATTAAAACCAATTCGGTTAAAAAATGTGCCCAAGCTCCCCAAAATGCCGAATAATGGATGGGTACGTTATATGGAGGCTATATTAAAACGTGGGCCGACATTGATGATTTTTGGTAGGGAGATATGCCTATGTGCCTAAACTATCCAAACTACCGAAAAATGTGAGGTACCATTGTATGGTGTCTAATCTAAAGAGTGGACCGACATTGATCATTTTTGGTATGAACCATTTTTACCCAATGAGAAACCAAAGTATCAATTTACAGCCAATTCTGTTGAAACAAGAACAAACAAGAATCGAAAAAGGACTATCACAGAAGTTTGTTTAGGTGAATGGAGCTATATAGCTCCATATAGTATATTTATAGGAAGACCTACTTAAATGAAGATGAGAATCTCGCTTAGGGGAAGAATCATTTAAGTTTAAAGGACTTACATAGACGAGGAGGCCCTAAAAACGTGTAGGTCCGATTGGATGATTTTGTGGTCTTCGGAAATTTATTTAGGTGTATCTCTAGAGGACCACTTGGGATAAGAAGAGATTTATAGAGGTTTTTGGTGAAGAGAATAGAGGTTCACCAAGATGACAACATAGGAGAGCAGGATGACATTTAGATCTGCTGTTCGGCAATTTTTTATACATTCAAGGAGCTTTTAAGTGAATAGGAGTTTTTCCTTTTATTTACTTAAGGGGACTCCCCATTCTCGGTGTCAATATAGCTGATTTATTGTGGCAGCATCAAGTGACGGCAAGAGTGATTCTCAAACTTTAAACGCATTTTTCTCGAAACAGTGTTTTACGAATGGCGGACACGATAACTCAAAAACTAATAATCCAATCGGTTCCAAATTTTGACACGTTTCTCTGAGAGTGTATAGCTCTCGTATGAACTAGGATAAAGACAATCGGTGAAGGTCTTCCTTATTTTTTAATGTTTGTAACATTCAAATATATAATTGTGACTTTAAAAGAAAAAAAAAAAAAAAACAAAATCATTGTTTTGTTCCGCCATTTTGTTTTAATTGTTGTGCGAAGTCAATAATCCTAGTTCATACGAGATCCAGACATGTACTCTTTCTAACACCGTCGGAATTTTCCCTTAAGTGAAGAGGATATATACAGAGCTTCGCTTAGGTAAGAAGAATATTTATACGGAAGTTTCCATAAATGAAAATGACCTCCAAGAAGAGCTTTATAGAATTCCGCTTAGGTAAGGAGGAAGGTCTCTATGAAGGTTACTTTAAGATGCCGCCTTGTTGAGGAAGAATAGTTTTAAAGATTTTCAACAGATATTTACATTGATTTGCTTAGGTGAGAAGAATATTTATAGAACGTAAAGGCTCTCCAAAGGAATATAGGTTAGGAAGTACTCTTCAGATGACCGCTAAAGGGCAGAAGAGCCCCACAAGAGTGGGGAGAAGCAGAGAAAAGCTATTTTGAGTTCCATTGGAGTCTTTGTAAGACATCTTTGGTAAAAATAGATTGCACAGAAGTCCACCCAAAAAGTGCTCCTTTTTGGGTGGAAATAGGAGTTCTATAGAGGCCGTCCTAGGGGAAGAGAAGATTTATATAGCTGTTAGTTAAGGAGAAGTGGAGCCCTATAGGTGTCCTATTAGGTGAATGCGAAATAGGAGTATCACATTCAATCCTACCCCATACCAATTTTGTTAATAATACTCTTTAATTATTTTAAACTATATTTGTATTTAATATTATTAATAATATTAATTACTATAGATACAATTATTTTAATTATTTTAAATTATATTTTATACTACTTATTTTCTCATTAATTTCCCCCTTACCCCTCATACCCCTCCTTCAATAAATTTTATTTGCCATTTAGCTGTCTACCTTAGGTTTTATTTTATATATGTATGTATATACATAAACATATATACATTTGATTTGTTTGACATTCAATTATCTCTCAAGTACACTAACAACATTTGCAAACTATGACCCTTACCACAGTTAACAGCATCCCATAACAACAAAAACAACAACAACAATTGTAATGAACTTTAAAAGCCAATTTTGTTTGTATACTTTACAGATAAATTTTTGCCAACCGAATAGAATAGAACGGAAACGGACATGCGCCATATGCCGATGGATGGCAACTAACAAAAATTCTTGGTATTGGTAGTGGTAAAGTTGGCAGACACAACACGCGCACACACACACAACACCCAACCACAACATTAACAGCATTAACTTGGCAGAAACGTGAAAACGTTAAGAGAGAGCAGGAGAGAGAGAAAAATCTAACAACAAGGCAAATAGTGTGAGATAAATGCAATAAGAGATTTTGAGATAAATTCCGCATAACAACCAAGAAAATATTTGAAAACGTTAAGAGAGGCGTAATAAACCAAACAAACTGGCTTTGAATACCAAAGAGATGGCTTTTACACGCCATCAAATTGAGAAGAGACGTCTAATTGAGTTGGTAAAAGTTAATCCAATTTTGTGGGATTGCCGTTTGCCTCACTACAAAAGATCGGATAAGAAAAAGGCCTTGAAATGGAATGAATTGGGTAGAATATTCAATGTAAACGGCGAACGGGTACAGAGGACGTTTACCTCGCTGAGGGAAATATTTCGCCGAGAACTGAATCATGAGAAAATGTTGGGTAGCCGTTTCAAATCGAAATGGGAATATTATGATGAGATGGCATTTCTCAAGGAGGTCATAAGGGAAAGGAAGTAAGTTGAACATTTTGAGATTATAAAGGGAATTTAAATAATTATTTTTATCTCTCTCCCTCTCACTTTCAGATCACGTGAACGTGCCAAATCCAATGATGGCCTAACACCCAGCAATAACAACAATAATTCCACCACCGGTATTGATGAGTATCAATACTTTGCTCCCAATGATCCAAATAATCCACAAAATCAAGCCATACCCCTGTTGGCAACCATACCCACAACCTGTGCCCTGGTATTACCGCAATCAGCCGCCAATACTTTGGCTACACAAAATGGCTCACTAACACCCCATATGCCAAATAATCCACCAAATACTCCGGTCTCCACCATATCAGGCAGTCAGGTACCCACCGATGTTATATTGAATTTAAATCCCAACACCCTGGCAGCTTTGCAAAAACTAAATGCCAATGGTAATTCGACAAATTTACAACCACCCCCACGACCCATTTCGCGGGCCCGGTCATTAACTACACGTTCATGTTCCTCTTCGCCATCGATATACATAAAAGATGAACCTGACTCTCTAGATGATACCATATCACTGGCCACTACTTCGAATGGCAAAATTAAAGATTACCACTCCAGCCGATCGCTGCACAAAACAAAAAATTCATCATCAAAACTTGTTGCCTCTGGGAAAAATCTTAACAACTCAACACAGAATCTAGTCATTGATGAGCGGGATTGCAGTGATATCGATGATGATCCCGATGTTGATATGTTGGATGATGATCGTTTGTCGATATCCACATCGTTGGTCTCGTTGCCAAAGGAAACGGCTACTGGTGGTAGTGGTAAAAATTCTCAAAAAACCAATCAACTGTTGTTGAAACCCACAGCCCATGAAATACTCTACACCAAGTTTGGAGAATTCCTGGCTGCCCGACTGAACACCTTGGACGAGACCGTGGCCAATGAACTGATGAATAAAATACTCATGCTAATTGCTGAGAAATAGATATGAGGTTATCGATGACGATTCTTTTAGAATTATTTAAAAAAAAATATTTTTATTTTTACAAATATCAAAATCAACTCTAAGAGTTCCAAAATTAAATATTTTGTTATAGGTTAAGAATTAGTTTATAATTTTAAATATTTTATTTTTTCATTTTAACTATAATTTAAATTCTAGTGCCAAAAAATATTTATGTGACCATGAAAGACTCAATTTAGTTGTATTTTATTAGAAATAAATTATTTTTGAAATATATATTCCAAATCGATGGCGGCATCTACGACTAAATTAAAGGGAGGTTCCGACTATGTAATTATTATGTAATTAGGTTATATAGGAGACTCTTGCTCATAAGGTACCTTTAGATGACGATGGTGAGGATTTGTGATGAGAAGATTTGTAGAGTTTTACATAGTTCATCAATAATTCGGAAAAAATCCAAAAAATATGACTTGAAGTCCTTTGTCTGTTGTGAAAAATATTTTTAGACTTTAAAAGAGGCGTTGATAAGCTCTCTAGATGCCAGATTCGGAAATATGAGTTTTCCCAAGTTCCCGCAAGTGAAATGCAAGTGTAGAAATTTTAACTTATGTAGGTTCCCTTAGGCGAAGAGGAGCTCTATATTGGTTCTATTATATGAGTGAAAGGTATTTTTACGATACGTATTGAGAGGAATTCAGAGGTTTGCTAAGGTGAAGGGGATCTCTATGAAGGTTTCCTTAAGGTATATAGATTAGGAGGTGCTCTTCAGAGGACCATTAAGCATAGAAGAGTCCTATAGATATGAAAAGAAGTAGAGACGAGCTCTTTAATTCCCTTAATTCCCGCTTAAGCACAGAAGAACCCTACACAGGTGAAGAGAAGCAGAGAGATGAGATCTTTAGAGTTCCGATTGAATAAATGGTAGCTCTATAGAAGTCAGATGAGGTATATGTAAGCACCATATAGGACAACAACCCTATAAACTTCCGATGAAGTGAAGAAGTGCTCTTTAAAGGTGAAGAATAAGACCGCTTAGGTGAGAAAGAGCCCTATAGAGGTTCGTTTTGGTGAATAGGGGCTTTATAGAGATCCGCAAAAATCTGCTTAGGAGAGAATGAACTCTATAGAGGAAAAGAGAAGCCCTATAAAGGTTCGCTTAGGTGAAAATAGATAGATCAATAAAGACCGGCTTTGATGAATAGAGGCTCTATAGAGATTCCCTAAGTTGGACAGGAGCTCCATATACATTCCAATAAAATAAAGGAAGCTCTTCTAGGTGTATAGGTGCTCTATAGAGGTTCGCAAAAGTCTGCATAGCAGATAATCAACTCTATATAGAGGAAGAGAGGAGCTCTATAGGGGATCGCTAAACTGAAAAATAGCTCCATAAAGGACCATTAACTTGCAGAGGAGCTCTATAGAGGTCAGCTAAAGTGTTCTTAGGTGAGGATGAGCTCTGTAGAGGCCCGGTTAGGTGAAAATAGATCAATTAAGGCTCGCTTTGATGAATAAGGGTTCTAAGGTGAATAGGAGTTCCAATGAAATGAAGCTGAGTTTTATAGAGGCCCGCTTAGGTGTATATGGGCTCTGTAGAGGTCCGCAAAAGTCAACATCGATGAGAAAGAGCTATATAGAGATTCATTTAAGAAAAAAAGGATCTATAGAGATTCGCTAAGGTAAAGATTAGCTCTAAAGATTTCCGATGAAATGGATAGGAGCTCAAAAAAGAGCGAGAAGAAGTCTACTTAGCTGAGGATGAGCTCTATAGAGGTCCTCTAAACAGCCTCGATTAATTGAAGAATATGGTGAAGAATAGATCCATATATGTGGAGACGAATTCTATATAGGTTCGGTAATGCTAGGAGGAGAATAACCGATAACATAAAATAGATGATATGTAGAGCTCAGATTATGTGGAGAAGAGTTCTATAGAATTTCGATTAAATAAATCCAAATCGTAATAGGGAAATGGATTTTCGTTTAAATCCTAAATATGGGCGAACATGGTGACACCAATTATTTTTCAATACTATTGAGAAGTTCCATAAGAAATTGAGGTTTGGGTAATGTGTATATAAAGGGTAGATTCAGAAACTCTACGACTCAGGAACCAGGATTCCGATCGAATCTAAACTAATTGTTATGTAATTTTATTAAGGTATGGATTATTTGGAAAATAAATCCCATTTAAAATGTACTATAAAATATTTTCCCTAACTAATGGCATATTAAATATGGCCTGATTTCCTGGGAATACCCAAACAAATCCCTTCTTCACTTGATTACACAAATAGAGTAAGAGAAAGAAATTTTTAAAATCAAATCACGTCCATTTTTTCATTGAAGATATCGTGGTAAAGATTGTGGTGTTGACAAATAAAACATCAAATCACAAGATAACCGACCAAAAGACAGACAAACAGGCAGTCAAACAGACAATATTAAGAACGATTATGAATAAATGATATGGAACTGTGTGGCAAACAAAACAAAAAAGAAAAAAAAAAGAAAGGAAGGCAAAGGGACAACTATGGCTGGTAAATTCCCTTAAGGATTCCATTGATAATCATGAATATGCTTGAATGAATTCTCAGATCATCATCTATGAGGTGTATGTGGGTGGGGGTGTCTGTCTGCATGTGTGTGTGCGCTATGTGCTGACACATGTCCCATATGCTTGACGTGATTTTCAAATTTCAACGAGAAGTCACCTTTTTTTGAATTCCCACAGAGCCGTGAGGCAGATGGAAACTTGTTGCCATTCCAACCATTCGTTGCTCTTCTGCTGTTCCAAAGGAACTCATTAACTATGACACAAAGACAGTTGAAAAGCGGAAAAGTGACAATGGGCTGAAACCTGTCTACACTCAATCCCTTACATCATTAGTAAAGTTAGTCACATCCTATCCGATTCTGTCTGCAGGCGAATGGAATATGAATGTCAGGGGAGGTAGTTGGAATCCTTTGGCTTTGCCAGTAAATTCAAAGTTCGAAGTAAATTTCTAAGTGATTTCCTTTTATTTTTACAAAAAAATGAAAAAAAAAATAATAAATAAAAAATCCGAAATGTTTATGTCCTTTAAACCGAGAAAAATGAAACAAAAATAGGTAGTCCAAAAAGTTCTGCCAAGTTTCCGGATGTAAGTTGTTCTTTCATTTTGTTCCTGTTGCTTTTTTTCTGCAGTTCGTTAGGAAATAGCAAATATGAATATGAAAGCTTGAGGGGTAATTTTATATTATTTCAAACTTTAATTTCAATATTTCACAGGAATTCAAACACACACACACACACACATACTTGTGGATGGTTGGCGATACCATTCGTTTACAAAGTCAAATAGCTATTTGTTTTTTTTTCTTTTTTTTTTGTTTTTTTTCCAACTTGACTTCCATTTTGTCTTCTTAAGTGGCATTTTGGCAAGGCAAAGACTGTTGAGCTTTTCGAATGTGTTGAACATTTCATTGTCTCACATTTCGTTGAAGTTCTGTAATGGCAAAATGTTGCTGATACAAAATATGTGTTCGTCGTCCTCGGTCGGACGGACGGACCGACCGATCTACTTGCTGTCTTCTGTCTCATATGGTGTGAATAATATTTATTTTATGTGTCCAAAGGATTATTGCAGTTTATTTTAGGGTCTTCTATTCTTCTTGGAACTTGTGTTTTTTATTCTCTACCATTTGAAGAACCCAAAGTGTTAGGAAGTTTTTTTGGGGGGAAGGAAAATTACAAAAAGGCTGAACAGTCGTAAATATTTGGTTGAGAGATAGAAAAAGGGCTACATCAGTTAAATGATGTAAGTGAATGTAAATGCAGAATAACTGGATAAGTAAAATTTGAAATGGGCGATAAAGTTCATGGGTCCTAATAGAGAATCTTGAAACTTTATGAAGTTTCGTACAAAATTTCATTTACTCCTTAAAAACCAGCGTAAAATATATTATAGAATATTTAGACCCTAATATACAGTCTGTAAAATTCTTGAAAGCCCCGAATATGAAATGATATCACAAATTGTTTAACATAGGACCAAATAAGTCCGAATTTTCCACCTGTAACCCCAAGGAGCTCTGCACAGACCGAAAACCTACTCTATAGGCTTCCGATGAAGTGAAGAGGAGCTCTGAAAAAGAAAAAAAAGAAGTCTGCTTAGATGAGGAAGAGCTCTATAGAGGTTCGTGTAGGTGTATTTATAGAGGTCCTTAAAAGTCTGCTTAGTTGAGGAGGTTCGCTTAGGTGCGGATTTTCCACCTTTAGCCCCAAAGAGCTCTGCACAGACCGAAAATCAACCCTATAGACTTCCGATGAAGTGGAGACAGCTCTAAAAAAGAAAAAAAGAGAAGTCCGCTTAGATAAGGAAGAGCTCTATAGAGGTTCGTGTGGGTGTATTTATAGAGGTCCTCAAAAGTATGCTTAGTTGAGGAGGTTCGCTTAGGTGAAGAATAGCTTCATAAAGAACCGCATAGGTGGTGTCGGGCGCTATAGAGGTTCGTTTAGGTAGGGATGGACTGTCTAGGGGTCCGCAAAAGTCTCTGAGGTGAAGATGAGCTCTACAGGGGACCGTTTATGTAAAGAAGACCTCTATAGAGGTTCACTTAAGTGAAGAATAGCTGCATAAAGGATTGCTTAGGTGGATAGGAGCTCTATTGAGGTCCGTAATAGTCAGCTTCGTTGAGGATGAGCTCTGGAGAGGTCCCCATAGGAAAAGAGGAGCTGTATAGAGGTTCGCTTAGGTGAATAATTACTCTATAAAGTACTGCTTAGGAGGAGAAGAGCTCTATAGAGGTCCGTAAAAGTCTGCTTAGTTGAAGAGGAGCTCTATAGAGGTTCGCTTAGGCGAAGAATGACATCATAGAGCACTGCTTAGCTGGAGAGGATCAGAAGCTTTATATAGTGTTTAATGAGAATGAAGGTTTAGGTCAATAGGGGCTCTATAGAGGTTCGCTGAGGTGAATAGGTGCTCTTAGAGATCCGTAAAAGGATTAACTCCAGAGAGATTCAAGTATTCTGTAGAGGC